GGAGGAGGGGATAGGTGGGAGGAAGAACAGGTTAGGGAGGCGGGGCGAGCTGGACTGGTTTTGGGATGCGGTAGGGGGAGGGGAGATTTTGAAGCTTGTGAAATCCACATTGATACCATTGGGCTGCAGGGTTCCCAACCGGAATATGAGTTGCTGTCCTGCAACCTTCGGGTGGCATCGTTGTGGCACTGCAGGAGGCCCAGGATGGACATGTCGTCTGAGGAATGGGAGGGGGAGTTGAAATGGTTCGCGACTGGGAGGTGCAGTTGTTTATTGCGAACTGAGCGTAGGTGTTCTGCAAAGCGGTCCCCGAGCCTCCATGCCAGTACCTTGTCCCAAACGCCATGGTCTCATTTCTTATTTAGCAGCCTCCTATGCAACATCTTATCAAAGGTCTATCAATGTGCTGGTTAGATTAAAGGCATATTTAATCCCTAACACAATTTGGCTTTATCTTGTTCATAGTTCTATATATATTTTACTATTTGGGACAATCTATTTATTTAATTTAATTTAGGGAGAGACAGAGAAGGGAGACCTTGTCGATCAGGGAGACGACAGAGAGAGATAGAATAGATTGGAGTAGAGATAAGGGAGGCAAGAGCGTGGGATTAGGGAGGTGGTGAAGAAGTTAACAGAATAGAGAGGTGAGGGGGAGAGTGTTTTGGAGGTAAGAGATGGATCAAAGTAGCCATGCGTATACATCAGAGACAGATAAATGTCTAACTATATTCTGAATTACCACAGTTAATGGCATGGGAGATTGACTGGTTATTGGTCGGAATAAATGCTCTTCCAACTACGGTGTTGTTTGACAAAACTGTCCAACAGAGAAACATCCTGAGGAATTAATCTGATTATTCTGTTGCAACCATGCAAAACAAGAGGAAAAAATTGTAAATGAAGGACTCACCCATAATCCATAACCTGTGTTAGTCGTGTAAGTCGTGTCCAGGGATTATAAGCAGAATCAATTCTAAAAAGGCGCATGTGCATGGCTAACACATGCAACAACTGGTCTAAAATACAAAAGAAAAGTATTCTGTGATCTCAATTTCTTCATATTCTCAAAGAAGGAACAATTCTTATTGTACAAAAGTTCTATTTATGTACAAAATTCATTCGATTAGCGGATAAACATCTATTTGTGGGGACTTGCTGTATTTACTATTTCATTACTATTGATTGCAGTAACAGTGAGTTTTTCCAATTGTGCTTTTTTGAGTATCAATCTCATCAGTAAACACATCTACACATATTAGTTGGAGTTATACAGGTCTACAGCACAGAAAAAGGCCATTTAGCCTATCAAGGCTGTGCCAGTTAAAAACAACCACCTAACTCTTCCAATCCCATTTTCAGCACTTGGCCCAGGGAAAATGGAAAATGTCATGAGGGTTTTCTACTGTAGAAACTCCTTCCCTTAGTATTGAGAAAACTACTGTGTGCAAGCATGAAAATCTAAAATTGGTCAGAATAAATGCTATTCCAATTATGATGCTTTTGAACAAAACTGTGTAGAGAAATAAGGCACACCACAAGTGCCTTGGCATCACAAGCGTACATCTAAATACTTCTTAAATGTTATAGGGTTTTTGCCTCTACCACCCTTACTGGCAGGGAGTTCCGGATTCTCACCAACCTCTACGTGAAAAATATTTTCCTCACTTCCCCTCAAAACATCCTGATCTTTGCCTTAAATCTATGCCACCTGATCACTGACTCCTCCACCAAGAAGGTAAGCTTCTTCCTGTCTTTTCCCATCATAATTTTGTACATCTCAATCATGTAGCCCCTCAGTCTCTGCTCCATAGACAACAAACCCAGTCTATTCAATTCCTCATCATAACAAACACTCCAGTTCAGGCAACATCCAAGTGAATCTCCTCTGCACCCTTTCCAGTGCAATCATTCTTCCTTATAATGTGGATTCCAAAACTGCACACAATGCTCTAACTGTGGTCTAACAAACATTTTATACAGTTTCAGCATAACTTCCCTCCTCTTAAATCCAATGCCTCATCTAATAAAGGCAAGTATCCCGTATGCCTTCTTAAGCACTTGATCTACCTGCTCCACGACCTAAGAGATCAGTGGACATGGACACCAAGGTCCCTCTGATCCTCGGTGATTTCCAGGGTCCTATCGTTCACCTTTGTTTGTCCTGCCCAAGTGCATCAGCTCACACTCATCCAGATTGAATTCCATTTACCACTGATCACCCCATCTGCATCTTCCTTAATCTAAGGCATCCTCTTCATTAATAATCATCCCACCAAACTTTATATCATTCACAAACTTAGTGAACAACCCTCCTCCATTTAAGTATCAATTGTTTATATGTATTACAAACAACAGCTCCAAAATTGATCCCTGTGGCTCCCCAGGAGACACAGTTTCCTGTCACAAAAACACCGCTCAACCATCACCCTCTGCCTCCTGCCAGTCAGCCAGTTCTGTATCCAATTTATCAAGTTTCCTTGAACTCCACGGGCTCTTACCTTTGTAATCAATCTCCTGTGTGGGACCTTATCAAAAGTATTGCTGAAGTCCAAGTAGACAATGTTGAAAGCATGGTGTTCACCTACACACTTGGTTACATCTTCAATCAAGTTGGTCAGACATTGCCTCCCCTTAACAAAATCAAGTTGACTATTTTTGATTAATCCCTGCCTTTCCAAATGCAAATTAATTTTGTCCCTCAGAATTGCTTCCAATAGTTTCCTGACTACTGAGATTAGACTGACTGGTCTTTAGTTTCCTGATTTATTTCCTGCTCCCTTCTTGAATAACACCACCACATTGGCTGTCCTCCAGTTCTCTGACACCTCTCCTGAGGCCAGGGAGAAACTGAAAATTATTCTCAATTTCCAAGTTATTTCCCCCCTTGCTTCATTCAAAAGCATTTTTATACATTTTATCTGGCCCTGGAGGTTTATCTACTTTTAAGTCTGCCAGATCACTTGGAACATCTCGGTCTATGCTAGCTACTTTAAGTTTACTTATTTAAATTGGGCAAAATCAGCACAGTCTGTTTAGTTAAAATTTGTTCAAATGGAGGAGACTCATGCCAATTGAAGTCTGAAAGGCAGATGCTATATTTATAGGACAGGCAGTAACAATGCAGAGACATAAGCTGGCAGATGTATTGCAACAGTGGAGAAGAATTATTTGCAACCAACGATTAAGTAGTGCTTCATATAATACATAAAATAGTATACTGGCTTTCACATTCAGATTGCATGTTGTTCAATTGTAAACAGAAAGTGATTGTATCTTAAAATTGTAACATAGATTCAAAGTGTGAGGGAACAGTGCAAATAATTGAGCTGAACATTTGATCATGTTATTCACACAAACATATTTTAGCTCAATACCAAGATTAGTTGATAGCCATATCAGGAATTTCCACTAAGGGATATCTCAAACAAATCTTAAGGGATGAGCAAACATTATTTTGGCAAATTTTCTGAAATTATTGTAATCAGTTGAGCGAAGCGCTGAGCAAATTTCCAGCATTTTTTCAAAGCATTTGACATCTAGCTAAACAGCGATTATCAGCTCTATAATCCAATTCAAAAATGTTGCGTGCAATCTTCATGAATTAAAGTTATCAAACTTAAATGCATTTTTTATTATACGTGAATAAAATCATTTAAGCAGGAGATGGAATGTCCTTTGTACCCCTTATTCTGCTAATGAAGCATCTGGGAAAACACCCTTTTGCACGTTTCTTTGACAAATGTAATTGGAAGATACAGAAGTAGTTAGTAGCATCAGATTAGCTGAATCTTTGTGCACAGCAGCAACATATATGCTATTCAGATGACTCAAGCCAATTTTTTTTTCCCCTTTTCTCTATCATTTTGTGGGACATGGGTGTCGCTGACTATCCCAGTATTTATTTGTCCATCCCCAATTATTCTGAAGCAGATGGTTGGTTATGAGCTACCTTCTTGAACTGCTGCAGTTCTAGGGATGTAGGAACACCCAAAGAGCAGTTAGGAAGTGATTCCTGGATTTTTGGCTTAGTGAGAGTGAAGGAATGGCAATATACTTCCAAGGTAGGATGATGCGTGGCTTGGAGGCACCTTTGTCAGCATCTTCCAAACCACAAACACTTCCACCTTTAAGGGCAGCAGATACTTGGAACGTCACCTATTAGTTCTGCTCCAAGCCATATTCCATCCTTTGCAAGTAAAGGGCTTAAAAATGTTCACAGTATTCCAGTTAGTTGATTGGTTTAACTGATATTCTATTTTTACTCTATTTTTAAGACTCCATTCCCTTTGAACTCCCTCCCTAATGGTATTGTGACTCTAATCTCAAGAACACGGACTGTAGCTATTCACCATCACCTACACAAGGACAACTAAGGATGGATAATAAATGCTGGTCCAGCTAGCAGTGACCTCATCCCATGATTGAATTTTTAAAAAAAAAATCTGTTGCCCTTGTACTTTGAGTTGTAAAGATTGATTAGATCATCAGATGTAGGAACAGAAGTATGCCATTCAGCCAGTCGTATCTTCTCCACTATTCAATGATATCATGGCTTGTTTGTTAAGCCTCAGCTCCTCTTTTATGCTTTTTTCTCACAACCCTTGACGAAAAAACTTAAGACCTAGGAGCATGAATATGTAATTTATCCCCTTGAGCCTGCTCCGCCATTCAATATGAACATGGTTGATCACATCTTGGCCTCAACTCTACTTTCCTGCCTGCTCTCCATATTGAACTGTTATGAATTAAAAATATGCCTATCCTTCTTATATTCATTCAATGTCCCAGCATCCACTGCACTGTGATTGTGAAAGATTCATGACCCTTTGACAGAAGTAATTTCTCCTCATCTCTATTTTAAATCTGCTACCCCTTATCCTAAAACAATGACCTTACTGATTCAAAATCTGACTATTGCAGTCATGAATATACTTAATTGCCCAGTCTTGACAGCCTCACTAGTAAAGAATTCCACACATTAACTACCCTCAGCAAACAGACAATAAATTCTTCCTCATCTCAGTCCTAAATAAGTGATGTCTTATTCTGAGATTATGCCCTCTGGTTATAGAATCATAGAATCCAAAAAGTCTGGAAACAGGCCATTCAGACCAACAAGTCCACAGAGACCTTCTGAAGAGCATCCCATCCAGACCCACTCCTCTACCCCAATCCGGGCATTCCCCATAGCCAATACACCCAACCTACACATGCCTGAATATTATGGACGATTTAGCATGGCCAATCCACCTAATGCGCACAGCTGTAGACTCTGAGAGGAAACTGGAGCACCCAGTGAAAACCCACACAGACACAGGGAGAATGTGCAAACTCCACAGGGTCACGCAAGGCTGGAATCAAACCTGGGTCCCTGACACTGTGAGGCAGCAGTGCTAACCACTGAGCCACCTTTCCACATCTACCTAAGAATCTTGTAAACTTCAATAAGGACCCTAACAAAAACAAAGTTGCTGGAAAACTCAGCAGGTCTGGTAGCATCTGTGAAGGAGAAAACAGAGTTAACATTTTGGGTCCGGTACCCCTTCCTCAGAAGGGACGGTGGCTGGGAAAACGTCAGTTAACCCGAAACATTAAGTCTGTTTTCTCCTTCACAGATGCTGCCAGACCTGCTGAACTTTTCCAGCAACTTTGTTTTTGTTCCTGATTTACAGCATCCGCAGTTCTTTTGTTTTTTTTTCAATAAGGACCCTTCTCATTCTTTTAAACTTCAATGAGTACAGGCCCAACATACTTACCCATTCCTCATAAGAGAGTGCCTCCACACCCAGGATCAACCTAGTGAACTTTCTCTGGACTACCTCTAATGTTGGTTTATTTTTCCTTAGATAAGGGGCCTGGAAGTGTTCACAGCATTCCATTTTTTGCTTGACCACTGCCTTATATAGTTTTCGTAAGACCTCCTTATATTTATACTTGAAATAAAGGACAATAATCCATTTGCCTGCCCTGTTACCTGCTGAACATGAATACCAGTTTTTTTTTTAAATTTATGCAC